CCATGAATCTTGGGAGAAAGATGGCAGAATTTCAGACACACCTTGGTAATTAGAATAAACGAAGTATAAGCCAAACGGAGACTCCTTATTTTATAGGTACGCATAGTTAAGGACAATGCTGCCCTGATAAGCGTCAGAAAATGTTAAAAATGCATTAGATGACTGTGCCGAAGAAAAGATGTAGTTCTGATAGTGGAAGATAGCCTACTTTCGAGGAATAATACGATTGAAGCTGAAGGTGCAAATATCGACATTTTTGGTCTCCACAAGGTCCACATTGTCCCAAATCTTCCAGTTAGAGTCTTCTATACCAGAGTAGACCAGATTGACCTCAGAATGACTAGAATTGGCACCTGCAAGCAACTTGGGTAGAAGGAGAGAACGCTGGAACGGATCCAGTTCACGAGGGCTGTTACCGCCTTCACTAAAATGCTCAGACTCCTCCTCCTCCTCCTCCTCATCATCATCATCATCACCATTTTCCCCATCGTGAGCTAGGAATTAAGAGGACAGTTGTCTTTAATCTTATTTTCTCAATGTCACTGTGGATAATCCCGACCTCTTCTAAGCAAGTATTCTTCCATGCCTTAGAGTTAATTCGTGTGGAGTGGTGAATAGATAGGTGTTCCCGTTCGACCTGCTATAAGGGAATAAATCAGTCTGCAGTTTGCAACATACACGGACACAAAGCAACCAGTCTTTTAGTAATGCTGTGAAATGTTACCGGGAAATGTGAAACGGGTGTGCTAGCTTAACGAAGGTTGGAATAAAAAAAAAACAATTCTAATCGTATTTCTGCCAGCCAGCCAGACAATCCAAAATGTACGGGATTATTTCATAAAGTGGGTGAAAGGAGTAAACAAAGCGGTAGTACTTGAAGTCCACTCTCGATCGTTAACGAATGGCATGAATCACCCATTCACTCGGTCGGCTTCCATGATTTCCCCTTCTCAGTTGACAAAACTGGCATTTACATCTAGACATGCCACGAGACTTGAGACAGAGTTAATCTCGGTTTGTAGAGTAGGCAAACTCCAATCACATCAGGCACAATGAGAAGCACTCCCTCACTGATTGAAAAGTCCCCTACAGGACTTACCTTCACTCTCAGAATTGGCCTCTCTGTGACCCTTGGGCTTTTTGTGACCCAAAAAGGCATCAGGCATGGAGGCATTGGACATAATGATCACCTGATTGGATGGATTGGCATCCGTCAGGGGTAGAGTGAATATTCCCGGTTTAAAGAGAATCTTCTTTGATCCGGCTTACAAAAGGCAATGACAGTCTTTACTATGACGGCGGAAATATAATTATAGCTTTCAAGTTACATGGGGTCAATGAACTCACTGAGGATAACGAGTGGACTGCAGGCTATGAACTGGGACATGAAGGACAAGTTTTGATCACGAAGGAGATGGGCATGATGCTGGCTGATGGGTTGAACCTTTGTGGAAAAAAGGAATGGTATGGCCGTTTATAGTTGTATTGGTGGTGGTGAAAGTAATAAGGCTTCATGTCTTAGCATGCCAGCAAACAAGACAAAGACAGTTGCATCCGAATGAAGCCGCTTCAAGCCATTAATCATACCTTACCTGAATGGAGTAGGTGCAGGCGATTTTTAACGCTCCAGAGGGAAGGATCAGCATAACTCGCTTATCCACCAGTGAGGTGAGTTTACCACCCCCTCGACCGAATTCTCCGATATCACGACGGATTCGAGCTGCGGGTGCCAAGGCAATGGGTGCGACGAGACGTGACAGTTTAAATTCCAGGTACCGCGAGTCTTCATACGCCATGTCTGCAGTCTGAAGATCCACCCAGGGTGATTGAGGAGGCTCTGGGTCCTCCTGTACATGCAGACGAGGGATTTATTTAAATTAACCCTATCTTCGGAAAGGCAGCTGGGATCCTACTTTTATGTCGATGGACTACTTTCCGTTCAACTTTTTAGATATCAACCTTGCAAAACACTCACTCAATGAATAGCATGATTCACTTATTTGCCTAGGAATCTGCCATAGCTTTTGCCTCTCAGTTAAAGACGCTTGTCAACGATCTGTTTTCATATCACCCACGTAAATCTTACTGCAAGGTGATCTCGACATGCTAATTTTCTGTGCCCCAGGTAAAGGATTTTCCTGGTCAAATATCTAGAAGTTGCCATCGCCAGCCCTAGCTACTGGACATTCTAGAAAGTCGGTGATCTCACTCATTCCCTCTTAATGGCCTGACATGTACAGATGAGCCCTGAGTGTGCTGGTGAGCGCTATAAGGGCAAGGTGAATCAGTAAATATAATTACGGGTGGGTGAGACCACCGAGGACTCAGGCAGTCTTCGCTAGCTAACGTCTGCGCGCATACGCATTCAATATACTTTTTATGCTTGCCCTTGCGCGTCGGTAATAGACGTCTGCACCGGAGACCTCGAAAGGACTTAGACCACAAGCACGACCCCCATATTCGTGATGCGACACCTTTTATCTCTTACGCAAAAGGATTATCACAGAAGAATAAAGGCATCTTCTGTGAATGGTAGAATGCTCTAAGACGGCGAAGATACCAACAAAACCAAGGCAATAGGTTTTACACCATCCCACTGCACAACATCGTTCAGACTTCAGGTATACCTTAATGAAGTCTGTCAAGTATGGCAGATGCATTGGAGACGTTGAATGTAAAACTCTCCTCACCGTGTCATCTTTGTGCCTGCCTTGAAGCTTGTTTCAATTTATTAGAACATCTTTGTGAATGACATTGAAGTATAGGCAATGAGAGCGATGTTGTTCCACATTTCCATGTCTCTTAACGTCTTCAATCAATCGCTTCCAAGTTGGAGTCTTTCCCCAGCATTCGTGTCAGTTACTCTAGATATTTCAATGGTTAAATTTCATGGCCTAGTTTTTCGCCCTGATTTCTTACATTGAAATCCATGTGGAAATAGGGAAACATGCCACGTAAACAGTACGTTTGGAACCTACATTAGCGTCGAATATCTTCCGAAACCTCGGTTTCTCTGGTCCCGATTCTCCAGCCTCCGTGGTGAAGACAACCACTTCTCTGGTAGGATTCTTACCATATTTATGTGGAATGCCCACAATCCAGGGCTCATTTGGCTATAAAGAAGAAAAAGCGCTAGAATGCGATTGAAAAATGCGAAATTCATAGGATACAGGACACTGCTTTCACCGAGGTTTAGGTTCTCTCAGGAGTTGTGAACTTCACAAAAGATAGCATATGATCAGGAACAGATAGTTATTTGTGGTTTCCCACCACGGTCGTTAAAAATTCCAACCTTATCTCGATGGTACCCTCTGGTACCCATACTAAGCCTCCAAAAGCGGCACAGCATGTTTAACAAGAAGCACGCTTCTCAGCTTCAGAAAAGCGTTTAACTTGGTTCTTCAAGCACGTGAGCTGGAATCCCGTCCACCAGGTTTTTGCGGTCGGCCTGTTATAAAGGGAAGGATTGAAAGTCCAGAAATCTAGTATTGACTGAAGAATTCAATATCGCGCATTGCGTCATGAGTCTATCCAAATAACCTTAACCAAGTGGACGGACACAGAATAGTGCGATACAGGGGTGTTCGGCCCCCAGCAATAAGTCGAATTCTGGCAACTTTCCACAGTCGCACACGCGTCTGGCAGTGACGATTCGGGTAGTAGTGGCTCCCAGCCTACAACACAGCAGTCATTCCTGTGAATATTCAGCAAGACGTTAAGTCTGTCATGTGACAAAATTGCACAATAGGCGAACCCTTCTGTGGGGGCTTAGTAGAATGCATGCACTTACAAATACGAAAAATTATTGCATGCCGGATACGAAGACAGGTAGGCAGGCAGGCAGCTGCAGAATGGTTCAGTCATACCAAACAATCATTCTGCGCTGAAATTTCCTAGATCTAAATCAGACGCTACGAGAGGTAGTTATTTGTAGAAGTTGATAAAGTGTTTCACAGACTTGCCAAAATGCAAATAAGTTTGGGATGCCTGGGACGGATGCAGATGAAGCTGCCAATAACCTCGGCGTTACCGGGCAGATCGGGCCACTGTGCCAACGTATTGGCATAGCTGCAAATCAGCCTGTCTCGGCTGACCAGACAGTCTGAAGGAGCACGAACGTAGCAAATCACCCGCTGTTCTGCTCCCTCTCCAATTGTATAGCTAGACAAGGTTTTAGAGACACGTTTAACTGGATTTAGGGGTGACTAATCACAAAACGATGATGTAGTGGTATGATTTCCTGTGTTTTGATTGGCCATAAAAGCTCATAGGTTGTCCAGTAAAACATTGTTTGAGGAACATACATAAATACAGTAGTGCATCAAATCCACTCACTGATGAATGTTTAGGCAGAGAACAGGCCAGACACCTCCTTCTTACACATATTTTATCCACTCCTTAAGTGGCGGTCGCTCTGCTGAGGCGATCTCCTCCGGATCCAACTGTCCCTCCACATACATCGCTTCCGCCGATCTCGCCCGCTCCGCAGCATCCGCTTCTCGCTGCGCCTCCTCTGCCTCCTCTTCCACTGCCACTGCCGCAGGGTCTTCTGCGCCCGGTACCCCTCCCTTTTGAGCCAACTCCTCCTCCTCCCTCCCTTGTCGTCTACCTGTCTCCGCCTCGTCTAATAGGAAAGGCGTAACTTTGTGCGCATTCAGCAACTCGTTGTTGCCTGCCCAGACGGCTGTACATGCGTTCAGACGCCAAACAGTCAGAGGGCTGGCAATGTAACTAATTTGGTGAGTGAAGTCGAAGTTGATTTGAGCAGATTCTACCATGCGATCTTTGAGACTGGTTAATAGAGCCTCGCGGTCTGTAAAGAGACATATTTAAATGCTCGTACAATGCTACCCGAAAGAGATAATTGATTATCTTTTGAGGCAGATAGCGATTTCATACAATAATTAAGTGATGATTTTCACGCAGAAGTTGCAGAGCGATTAATGCATTGAAGATCAGTAAGCCATTCATGAATTTCGCTGTCTTCTTAAAATGCTTTGATCACTATAAATTATCTTCAAAAGGCGAAATCAACAATAAATGTGAGTACGGATTCTAATTTTGACCTGACTAACATACCCATTGATTGCGTGAAAAATTATAGTAGGCAACTAATCAAGTTCGTGTGGATCTAGGCAAGACTTGTCACCAGAACAGCTTGTAACTTGTTGAGTTGTTAAGTCATAGGCGGAAGTATGCTTCCGCGGAACATTTTGTTGTGAAGCTGGTAGATGCGATTTAAGCATGCCTGCGTTTAATTTTGCTCCAAATATTCAATAACTTCTACCACAGCTTATTCTATAGCATTCGTGGAGGGTACCGTAGGAAATCCCGGACGAAAATTTTGCTTCGTTTCCTACATTTATAAGATTCCCTCCGCTTAGTTACATGATTTATGAGACCTACTTGCAGCTTATCAGTCACTAGGCTCTACTAGTAGAATTTAAGTAGTAGCACCTCTACCTAAACAGCTAAGACCATTGAATAGGGAAACCAGTGGATGAGCGTTTACCTTCAATAGTGATTCCGGCATTATCCCAATCCTTGTCGGCAGCAGCAAGAACTTTATCACAGGCCTGTTGATCATACTCACTCACATGTTTGAAAATGGGTGTAATGAAAGGGATTTGCGATACCACTTGTTTAATAAATTTATCAGCTGTCTCGTAGATCTGATTATGAAGGTGTTTCAATTCTTCCATTTTTTCAACGAATTCCGATGGTTGCATACCTTTTAGCCTTTCCAGTTCAACTGATATTATTCTCCGGAGCATAGCAGGGGTCATGTTTGGAGGAAGGTCACGGTAGAAAACCTGGTTGTTGAGGTAGGTCGGATCGAGAAATTGTGATTCCTCATTTTGTATCGTCTCATCTTTCTCCTCTTCCTCCTCCTCCTCCTCCTCCTCATCTTCTTCGTTATATTCTTGCTCTTCCTCTTCATAATCCGCATAACCTTCTAGCTCATTCAACCCTGAAGTGAATGATCGTAAGTCTGCCGTTTCTGACATTTTTGAAGCAGGTAACGCCTAAACAAGCTAACAGCTTGACAGGTGAACTTGGACCACGTGTGTAGACACTCAAAGTCGGTGTTGAGTTATTGATTTGCCTCTCCTTCCTTCATTTCCACTGCAAACATGAAGATAGGTTGATAATTTCACACATGTTATGCGCCTATTTGAATACATTGTTGAAATACAATCAAGGGTCTTAAGCGAACAAAAGATCCGCAAGAAAACTTCAAGGCTACAGACTGATTTCATTTTCCACATGGACTCTTACTTCTGCAAAAATTAATTAATGAAATTGGATCATCCTAGGCCAAACTGCTTCATTGCCTTATCTACTCCTTTAGAGATAAAAAGTTGTGATATTGTTTACATCAAAATGTGCGTGAGTAACTGTGCCTGCCATTTCCACAAGGTACTTGGCTCCCATGCAGTTTCATAGAAGGTCATGACATTCATGGCTGCAATGTGGATCGGGATACATAACCATCTAGACTGATTGATAGACAGAACAACAGACATATTCAAGCGAATTCCCAACTGCTCTGCCTACCAGCCTTCTTATCACTACGTTTGGCGCTTAAAGCCCTCTGTAGATTCGTGTAAATATCCATGGGCCCCAGTTTTTATACACTCATTTAGAAGATATTTGCACAGACTACCAGAGGGAATGGTCGATGATACTTGTTGTTTACTCCCACGAATGTCACCGTCATGTAAAAAAATGCCAAAATATGGAGATGAAAATAAGCCCTGGTTTGACTTGAACAACTGTTTGGATTATTAACGCCTTTAAACTTTCAACCTTGAAACGTGAAAAGCGTTGTCCTACTTCACCCTCGCGGCTAAACTCAGCATTCTTTACATTTAATATGGCTATTTCTGCGTATCCTATAGGGATCAAAGAAAAGGCCATATGACCTTCTTGATATTCTAATTCATCATGTGTAACCGCGATTTTAATTTGCCATATTGTTTTGCCATGACAACCACATAGGAATGACAGTTCTTGTAAGAAACCGCAGGAGTAGTCAGTGTGACAGATGGAGTTAGTTGTATGTACCACCCTTAGAAAGGAATACTCCTCAGCCCTAGGATACAAATATGGCCGATACACATCAAATGGCAATTACAGTACCGCATTAATGAGTGAGTGAAATATACGCATTCTCCACTGTTCCCTCTCTCATCGTTAACGACAAAAAGCAGCCTTGACCTGAAGTTTAAAATGTTTAACGTTTGATTTTGAACTTGGGTTTGGGTATCATGAATTACCCCTCATCAGCATATGAAGACCAAATCGCTGGGGACCAGGTAGATCAGACCGATGTCAGGGAAAGTCGATCACCGCAGGTCCAATGTTGTTCTTTTACAGTTGTTTACTTCTTCTCTTTTTAGATACATATATTTTCTTTCAGTTAAACGTGTCATATGTTTGACGTGCAGATTCAAGCAAGTTATTCATGGCGTGGCATGTGACAGAGGTATAGAGGTAGATAGAACGTCGCTTTAGGTGTGCTCTGTGACCTCACGGCTGCGTCCATCATTGGGTCGGCGTCTAAGTGACCTTAAGTCGGCTACAAATGGGGAAAGAAGATCAAGGCAAGACTACACCCTAGAGTGCCCACATTCCACATTCTGTCTCACATCTTTAGCAAAGTAATGATGTATGAGATCGTGTGTCAACAGGAATTCAACTTGAACTTGAGCGTTGTTACAAGAGAGTTATGTGAATTTCTAAGTTTGTTTCACGACGGAAAATCAAGTTAGCCTAGAACTTCAATTTCTCCACTTTAAATAGCTGGCACATGTCTTGAGCCAATTCTCAAGTCGTTAAAGATGATGAACAAGAAGAAGTGAGTGTATCTCGCCTGTCTACAACAGCGTGTGATGACGAGGAACGGTTCTTTTTAACCAACTATCAAAACTTAAACCCGTTGGTATCTATTTGTATTTACAGTGGTGGGAAGATCAGCAGCACATCACTTTGTTGGGCGGCCTTGCGTCAGAAAATCTGTCATTAGCGATCTCGGCAGTGCTGACTCCTGGTCTATATCAAATCAGGTCACCCATAACCTACCATAAAGTCGCTCAAGGAACGAAACTTTCGTTGATGGCGGTGTTTTTGGAATAAGAAATTCCAAAATGCCAATCAGTACTATGAGGTGACTCCTCTTACTGCCTTGAAGCTTCCCAGTTTCATCTATTTAGTCTTTCTAAAGACATCATTTCCTCCAAATTCATTCATTGTTGACGGTGTTTTGGTCGCAGAAGCATCACAAGCGATCCCCTTTGTTTTGGACAATTCTGACTCACTGGCAGTAGACCATTCTGTCTTGGCACTGAGTTCAAATTGCTAGAGTAGGTTTTGCCGTATTTCATTTATTTATTATGAAGACATAAAAGGGAAAGCAAGCCAGAGGGATAGATTGGAAGAGCGAATAAGCTGATGGATGAGTGGATAAATGGGATATTTTTTGGCATCTTATCAACTTCAGTTAATGGATTTCGTGTGAGCCCACGTATGAGGTCATTATCTAATGCCCTAAATGCTTGAGAATAACATATGCCTTCGGACCTACAGCACAATGCTATTGCATTATCAAGCAGAAATGCATGTATCGGACATTTTTGAAACTTAAAAAAGTCAGTCTTTCTACGGCAAAGTTATGAATAAGTTATGAATAAGTTGTCACATCATTCCATAGACATTTGAATAACGTTTGGATTGTGTAATCGCTTTAAAGAAGTATTTTGGGTCAGCTAATAGATGATAAATGCACTCAGCTCATCACAGTCTACCCGTTTTAGCTGGAAAAATGATTGGCTGATTAAGACCAAATTGGAATGATGTGCTCCAGATGTATGGGCTAACTAATCAGATGTTAAAAGGCCAATCTACCACACATACGCAGCATACGAACCACCCTACAACTCACCTCTAAATTCACCTGTCAATGGTGATGGCACTCAACCAGACCGGGTTAATGCAAGACTGGAGAGTAATTATGAATACGACTTGCAACATTTCAAAGCTTTAAGAGAATCTGTACAACGGCACAGGTTGAACATTAATTGCCAGAGGTAGGATTAGCTTCGTTCTTAGAGCCATCTTTCGATGGATCGTTTCCTTCTGTAGGGTTAGTGGCTTTGGCACTGCCTTCAGTTCCTTCGGCGCCAGCAGTTGGTGCTGCCTCATCAGCTGCTTCGGCTTCCACCTCCTCTTTGGCCACTTTGGTTAAGTGAGCTTCTTTTCGCGCCTCTTCAGACACCCTGATAGATGATATCTTTTCCTGTACAGCGTTGAAGTTGTCACAGGCCTCAAATCTGAAGTCAACTAGTGGTCTTGCAGTCTTGCTGATCTGGTGACTCATATCGTATTGCATTTGACCCAGGTCCAACATCTTCTGGGCTCGGTCAATCATTACTGCTCGAGTTTCTGAAAGGGATGTAGGCAAGCTTCAATTATCTTAAATGATTAAAAACCATCTAGTGCGCCACTGAATTGATTGAGATTGACATCTATCATTTACAGAAAAATTCAAATAGTAGTGAAACTCTTAATTAAACACTCAAGCATTGGGTCGCTTGAGTCGCGAGAAGGGATCAAAGATCGCTCGTGCATCTATCAGGGCTGCACTCAGATCGTGGTGGTCCCCCAGACCAGTCAGCCCCGTAAACAATCTCTCAAAACTTGGGACATCTTATTTCGGATGCTGAGCCGCACACTGCTTATCAGGGCAGCTTTCCGTACTGCGTGCATGCTACATCAAGTCGGCGAGGAGGTCTTGTCATAGCCTCTTTACGGGCCGCATCTCACTTCCAGTAATGCTTAAATCGTTAGAGCCCTAAAAAAACTACCACTAACAATGAAGTAAAATAGACTGCACAAACACACTTTTCTGTATTAAAGCTTTTTGGGTACTAGAGCTAACGTCTGATGCAATACAGATGTGCAGACAAATTAAAACATCAGCTGACAGAGTAATTTCTTAACAAAGCACAAGACGGAAGATTTGCCTCCTTTGTACACGAGCTCAACTCACCTTCAACCGTTTTGGGCTTAACACCGAAATCATAAGGACTTGTGAGGTTCAATTTTTTTAACATGAGTTGATCGTACTGCAGGATCATTTGCATAGCTTCAGCTAGATCCGCGGCATTGGCAACAAAATCGTTGGCAATTTCCTTCGCTGATGACACTGCCTGTGCGTGAACATCAGCTTGTTTGGAGATGTTCTGCAAAAAATCCACTATCGGCATATTTTCTAGGCGCTCCAGAGCCATCTTCAGTGCCACTTCCAGATCGTTCGGTTGAGAAACACCATTAAAACCGTCCTCCAACAAAGGCGTTGGTGCTGGACCCTCAATACTACTTCGTTGAAATTCATCGTCTTCCGCTTCTTCAGCTCCTCCAGTCACGATGTTTTCATGCTCCTTGTTTTCTGAGTGTCTCTGAAGCTCATCCCCCTCCATCGCCATCTGATATTCCGTTGCTCCCTCTTCATCACCATTTAACCCACCCTCCCCGAAGGTATTTCGACTCTCGGACGCTCCCACATCAAGAGTGGACTGATCCACGTCTTCTAAAGTGGCTTTAGATCGTGTCTTTTTGGAGGTCTTCGAGGCGGCTTTTCGTGGCTTCTTGGAGCCCACCGATGATGGCATGATTTTCCGTGTCCGCTTGCAACTTCCACGAGGTTAAATCGATCCAATGAAGTCCATAGTTTTGGGGAGGGGTCCACAGAGTGTGCTTAAAGAAGGCGGAGGTATGGCTGTTGCCAACTTGTTGTGCGTCACATAAGTTTTATTGAACTATGTAAACACGCCTTTTTTTGCTTTCTCGTCGACAGCTCCATGAGAAGGGATTTTCCGGAGTTTTTGGTTCTCGGTTGAGAATACGTGGCTGGGGAATAAGCTTTCCCAATTTACTGGAAAAAGTTAAGGAAGTGTAAAGTCATGTACCTTTTTTAATAGAGCAATCACCATGGCGATGAATTACTCAGTTCCTTCCTAAACGGGAAGCAAGGTAGTTGCAAATTGCCCTCACCAAAAAACGTATCCACTACCCTCGCTTATAATGTTAATGGCATCAAAAATTTTCAAAAATTCTTGGCAAATATGGAAAAAATGCAGCAGCTGATTACATGGAAGAAGTTGGCTGAAGAATTGATGGCTAGGTTCAAAAGGTCAGTAAAAATCAACAAGTTTGACAACTGGACAAATATAAGTACTGACCTGGGAAACGCGAGTACTCATGCTACAATAAACACTGCTGGCTCTGGGCTCCAAAAAAGAGATGACAAAAGACTACAAGAGCAGCATTCTACAGGCGGGCTGAGAAACATTCCTCTGCCGAGACACTAGTCACCTGCAAGGAAACATACTGATAAACGCGATGCATCTATGCACCGTGTCATGTTAACAGGAAAAAAATAACAAAACGGAACCACCCAACCCCATTAATATGAGTGTATAATAAGTTTAAGCTTTAATTGAGTGTGCCAACCGTGACTAGAGGCAGGCACAAGCGCGTGCATTATAAACGCTTCGCCACGTCAGCTGAGGCGAGAGCATGTTGAAGTAGCCCTTCTTCCCGCTTGATACTTCGGTTTGCATTGAGAAGTAGTGAATTCTCATCGTCCCACTTAGTTAGAAAGGATACACAAGAGTCAAGAGCACAATGTTAGGAGCCCACTGTGCAAGGAGCGCCAACACACCTACTTGGCGCGTCTGCCGCCTAGCGACGCATGAACAACACAAACCACCCTTTGGCGAGAGGCATGACAACAAGCACCCAAGCCAACTTTGACTCACAAAAAGGCACGCACCTGAAGACGGACCATAAACCGCAGAACTATCACCCCTGTCCCAGGTTAACCAACCAAAAGGGCCAACCAGAAGTACCAAAGGAACAAGTTGGCACCGAATGTTGGCTTGATCATACAGTGCCAAAATGATTCCAGGTTTATTTAACGTGATGAAAGAAGATTAATACAAGATAGAATGAGTTTGATGACAAGATGGAACATTAGCAACGACCATGTCAACAACAACTTTTTTGAGAGCATCAAATGCACCACGCGCGATTTCATACAACTTGCGAGCGTCCTTGAAGGCTTGGATAGCCGCATTCAGTTCGCCTTGTAACTTTTCGTTCTTCACTTTTACTTTTTGTCGATATCGAAATGCTGCATCTCGATTCAGTTTGCGCTTTTTCGACTGTCGATCCCCGTCCGCGACATGGTGCAATCGATGAAAAGAGGAAGACGGATGAGACTTTTTACAGGATTGTTGGGAAATAGGGGGAGAGGAATTCGAATTTCTGAGAATGTCAGATGAAGAAAGTGTACCCGGGAGATGAAGAGTATGACACAGCATTTCCTCAATAGAGGCGTGGTTTTTATCAGAGAATGCGTATGAATTGACAAAATCAATGAGTTCTTCGGGAAGAGGAAAGTGCGGCGTGAAGCAAGAGGACTTGTTTGAAAAGCTGTCATCTTCTGAAGCATCGTCTAGAGGGGCAAGGAAGTAAGGGAAAGACACTTACCTTGAAGCAGGTCACAATCGACATCATTCTCATTTGGAGATAATACGGTGCCAGGCGAGATAGTCGATGGGGAGCCCTCCAAAGAGTTGGAAGGAGGCGAGCAGTTCTCCAAAGTGGCTGAAAACTGCGTCAATGTACGTTGACAACTGGGCTGTGACATCGGAGGGATAGGGGAGTGTACAGATGAACATTCTGGGGTACATTTTGTGCCTGAACCGAGTAGATAATTTGCTATCAAACTTACGACAAGAGCGCGCGCATAAAAACCGTGATGGAGTTCTGGTTAATCAGTTTCCTAGAACATCATTCTGGAGGCGACGCCAATGGGTGAAACATGTAAGTGAAATGGAGCATTAAGTGTTTGAACACACGCGAGCGGATTTAAACAAAATGTCTTGATTATTATGAGATAAATAGATAACGGTTTACTGTTTAAACAAAGCAACATCTAATAATCTATTGCAGCTAAAATACTTCCAAAATTAGCTGCCAGTACTGCCTTGATACCACGAATTCAAAAATATGCATTCATAGTTCAACATAAAATTTGCCATTAACTGCAGTAAGTCCCAAAGTATGCACTTTCTCCTCCGAGTATCGGATATTTTCCAATAAATTGTCTGAGCAAAACGATAAGAACCCATCAATGTTTCCAGATAAAAATATTTCCAATTGCGGATTAGAATAGCAGCACATAGTGTCCCGAGAATCACATTTTAGTTCTATTTCGCTGATTCTCCTTGATGCGAAGACATATTTGTTTACCTGCAGCACCTTGCTACTCCTGTAACTTAGCTATTAATATCTGTAGCGTCCCGAGACTCCCTGAAGACGAAAGAAGACACAATACTAGGGCAGAATATATATATTCAGCACGGAGAAGGTGTCTGGGCTATTGGCATGGCCCAAAAGGCCAGCCCACCCAGCGAGGTACAAGGGGGCTAGTTCAAAGTACAAAATTGGCGCCTCACCAGAACCGAGGGATAAGCCACTATCGTATTACATATCAATCTAGCTGGTGTTCGATTCTTCCCATGGAGATGCTCTTTTACCCATTAAGCAAAACCCCCAGTTCAACTATAATAAATAGCCCAAAGTGCAATAATCTTGAAATTTGTGAAAATAAAACACTGTATTTGATAGTTACCGCAAGAAAAAAATTGTGTTGCTTGCTTATGTGGACTAAGAATGCAGTCACCATGGCAGCCCTTTAGTTTCATGTCAGGGCCATGTTTCAAAACCACACGAATAAAGGTGAAACCTAAATGATAGATAGAAACGGTTTAGCCTGTCTGGATCTAAACCAAATATATGTTTTAAGAGGTCAAACTTTAACTTAGAAAACATCTCATACATAAAATCCACCCTTGTTGTTTTTGACTTTGATAAATTTACACGTATTTCAAACAATGATTATAATAGGGAGATAATCAAATGTATTTGCAATAGGCAATGGGGAATCCACTGCGTCCAAAAGAAATCTTTAATTGTGATATTTTTCACCTTCCTGGGTGAGCAATTTACTTCATTATTTAGATCTTAAAAGTCAAAAGCAGTCTCTGCAACAATACCTTGTGCAAAGACGTGAGATGGCTCTGTTGAAATGCTCAATTAACACAAGGATAGAAGAAATATGCAATATGCGACGCTTGATAACCAAAGAGAGGCAGAAATTGGATGCTGATATTAAGGAATTCGAACGCAACGAAGCAGAATTTGAGGAAAGCGTCAACGAAAGCGAAAAAGCCTTAATTTTGGCAATCATACGGTATCTAAAAGCACTCGCATAGTCTCATTAATTTTCCATTAAGTAAAATGCCTGATGTAGAGGGGTATATGAGCATTTTTTACCTTTCCTCAGGGTGCATTAATGGCGATCATTAAGTGTGTATTTCCTAAGAGAATCAGGAGAATTTCCAATCCAGATTTTGATTCTAACATTAATAAGTTTAGGCTGACTATAATATACTTGCAAATCTTTGAAATTACACTATTGTGAGCAGAATAGATGCCTCACTTCCTACTTTCTTTGAATAGGGCCGAAAACCAAGCGAAAAAGCGGATTGAAAAAACTGAGGAGTTTAGGCTTCTCAATGCGCAGTATTTGCAGTTGCAGGCGGAAATATGTCGAAATGACATAAAACTGCATGATTATCGCGGTTATCAGCGTTTTCTTGAATCTTTAGTCAAAATGAACGGTCAGAAAAATGGGGATGGGAAAATACAGTCGAAGACGGGTGACTGATTTTGTTATTATGAACAACTTAGAATAGAGTACTGGGATAAATGACCAATTTCCGATAATAAAATACATTATTTAGAAAGATCACTGGGTAATTATTTGAATTTGTGCTTTTAGATCTCCGAAAAGAAGCGAAAAGCATGGACACAAGCACTAAACGTTCTCCAGATGAAAGGTTCGGTTGCATTGATTTAAGCCAATCTAAGGAAACGTGAAAAGGCTTTTATGCTCTTCCTACAGGTACTCGTAAAAAGGTGTAGATTTGCTCTTATTATTAACTTTCTCCTTTGTAAAATGTGCTCTCGTAATTTTTCTCAAGTGAAAACTGGTGATTTCAACGACGAAGAGAATGTCCAATCCAAGAAAGTCTGCACATAAATCATATAACAAATTGTATAGACTTATTTTGACTTGTAACTTGACATAGATAAGCAGACTTACGCAGACGGAATCTTTATGTGTTGTCTTTGTCGTATTACATTCTCAATTCAATATATAATCTAGCTTGTCAATTTCCTTGATCATATAATTGCCAGATCTCACGAAAAGTTTATGAGAACCATTTAAATGAATGTCATAAAAGGAGGACCAGGTTGAGATGAGGTAGTATCTCCCCTATCCTTAGGTGCAAATCTTCTTACGCAAAAGTTTTCTTCCGGAAATTGAATGACACTTCCTTTTGAGTGGCTAACTGGCTAATCGTAGTATCTCCTAAGGACGAAGCTTTCCTCTATATTTTCTGGTTTAGACATATTTAAAGAAAAGATCTTTAGCAACTGAATTGTCCCCAGTGAACACTTTTTTGCAGTCTATGTCACAAAACAGGCATGGCCATCAGCTAACACCGCGGTGGGTATCCTAAAATGCGATTCTCCATTCCACTTCTTCCGGTCATTCAGCCAACAAACAACCCAAAATGCACGATGTGACACCTATTCTTTTGAATCGTTTTACCATCACGTATGTTAAATCCTCCTGAGAGACACTTTTAGTTGGATAGTCTCTAAGCAACACGCTTCCCTGTGCTAAATATTAAGGGAAGGTCTTTTCATCCTTGATTGGAACCACATCCATGTGATGCTATCTCTCGCCGCAGATCATAGCTTCTCCAAATGTTATGCAGAAATAAATTCGACCAGGAGCTTCTGCATTTATGTTACAGAGGAAGCGCACCCCTAAGACGCACAAGCAAAAAATCCCATCCATCAAAACAGCAGATAAGATAATGACTGGTGTACTTTCATCCGCTTTGAGTAGTGCATGCATACAAATTGTTGCAGACATTTGACATGTCCCCACAAGTTACAACGAGTCATTGTATTGAGTTCATTCGCTCATAAAAAGAAAAGTAACACACCCTTGTCCTGCCTGAGGATGTTTCTAGAAGTTAAATATCGTAAATTTTTCTTTTTTTTGACAGGCAGGCTGACGTTTTAGGCACGGTGTTAAAAGCAGTGATTAAATTCCAAAGACAGTTACAAGTAAAACCACCAGATACGTAAGAGTTTCTTCTTACCCCATCTTATTTTCTTATTTACAAACCACAACTTTGCCTGGCTTCTTTAAAAAAACACTTAAATATTCTTACATATTTATAGGTCCCCGTTGGAAAAACCGTCCGTTGAAGATGGAGAAAGTTCCTCAGAAGAAAGTTTTGTAAGCTCATCCTTTTTAAAATAAACTTGCTAATTCATAAACTTCGCAAAAGGAATACTTTCAGGGCGTGAACCATGTTTTAAACTCCAAGCGATTATTTTAAATGGTCATTTTTGCAACATGGGGCGCTGGCCTGGCTCCTCCATTACTAAGATGCAGGATACACACGGATTCTCTACTTGCATCTGGCTTTTCTTTAACTCATCAAATTCTTGTTATTTTTTCATGAGTCGCTTCTGAAGTTCTCGCCATCATTCCTTAAGGAGAATTATTGTGGTCTAAGGCACTGCATGTATTTTAAACTGGTATGGATGCTATGAGATGACTACGAGAGAAAAATTTTTCCTGATGATGGTTAATACATACCACTGAGGCATTATCATGCCCATAACAATCAAAGCCTTACATATTGCTGCCGCTATCCCTTTGGGATTAATTTGGTGAAAGCTTTGTCGTCATCTTTAATTCAAATTAACGAGTCTCATACTGACTAGCAATTACACGAGTCGTAATCACAATTTTCTTCCACTTTTTGTTAAAATTCGTCTTAAAAATGCTTCTCTTTCCAATAAGAATTTGAATAAGTGCTTCAAGGAGTCCAGTGAACTTATAGACCTACTAAAAGATCTGGAGATCTCCAACCTCTCACTCATTCAAAACTGCCAAGACGCAGAGGAGACAATTGAATCCCTGAGAAGAAAAGAGGAAATGCTTAAAACTGAAAGGTATCTTTCTTTTTTTTGATGACCTCTGCCCACACAAAAATAACAGTGCCGATGAGGTCAGAGATCTAGTTGAGAAGATGAATCGACTGAAGGCGGTGGTGTTAAAGAAGGATAATGAATTTATGGAAGAGTTTGGTAAGGAAATGTAGGTGGAGAACCTATCATTTTTTTATTGCTGAGATGCCTCTAGTACTTACTATACCAGCAGCAATTAAATCGCCCATCAGAATTAAACCCCTCTATTCCATAAATACGTGGATACGTGTCGCATCCACTGACTGTAGTGCTGGATCAAGGAGTAGTGTCGTTCCCACTTATTTATGTCACTTTCATTGACCTCGACTTTGATACGGGTATTGGCACGTTTAAGGCGTCTTTACGCTATTAACTAATAAGGAAAGGGTAGCAAGAGGGAAACATTATCAGTTTGTGGGTGGGACTATTTTTAGTTGTGCTCTCATGCATGAACTTCTAAGTTGTCAAGTTTTGGTTGAATGACTGGAGTGAATGTGAATTAAACATATCCGCCTCACAGACATGGTTTATTTAAGAAACACTTCTCTAAGTAACTACCATCTCTATTTAACGTTAGACAAGAAATCCTCTCCAGGCACAAAGTCATACATTGTTGGAATGTTTGAGCTTGGATTCTGTTGAGTTGTCTGTCAAATTAATCAACAAGATGGGGACTTCTATGCTGATGTTCCTGCCGCCGACCCGCACAAGTAGGCGGGAGATTCGGCTTATGCGTACATTGCCGCTGAATGGGCTCCTGGGGACACAGGGTGGCCCAGGCCACATAATGATCAAGCAGTGCCTCTTAAGGTGCTTTGGGACGTCTAAAACTTAAGCACAGAAACGAAAATTTCTAAAGGATCTTGTTGTAGACGTTTCATTGGGTACATCGAACCTAGTGGTACAAAAAATTCGGACATTTATATAAAAATAGAACTTTCACCAATTATTATACAAAGTTAAATTATTTTGCAGAGGGTCTAAGGAGATGAAAACTGAGGAGGAACAATTCGAAAAGCTATGTGAAAAAATCACCTATGTCAATGAGAAATGCAATCTGCAAAAAGGAAAAAAAACGGAAGAAACATTAGTAAGGCCTATTAGGTAAGCGGAGATGGAGGTGATTATTCGTGAGATGTATCACCCTCCTCTTCAACTCCCCCCTTCTCCACTCCTAATGCCTGATGGCTCGTTTGCATCTTTGCTGATAGAGGGTGGGAATTCTATGCGATTATTAGAAATGATTCTGCTGGCGATATCCACCACGCTCCAACATGAAAACTTTACGCCGGTGGTTGAATCTCCGGACATCCAGTAGCATGCCTCGATTTGTAGACATGCTGAGTCCTGTCCATTGACTTGCGTGACGTGGCGACACGCCCTATATGTCGTGACAAAGTTAAAGTCATTCAAAGTACAAGGAACATGTGAGAATGATGACAACCTAAGAGACTTCACCAATCCACCCATCAGGGATGTATGCACATGCTGTACGCTTGGTGTACTGCAGCTGAGACTACGGCGCCGTCCATGTTTACACAAGTCCGCACCGGTTTATAACCTTTCAGAATGCGCATTTACTTTGAAAATGGCTAATAAGTATGAAGAAACAGTGAACATCTATGTAAGTTTGCCAACTGTCTATTTTAGGAAACACCGACTTAGTGTCTGGATGATTGAGGGTGTTAGGTAATGCAATGCACGCAGGAGGTGCAGTGCTGAATCAATCACTTCTGTCTCTCAATTACGCTTAATCACTTGTCATAATGCATCGTCAGTGTGGGTAGTTTATAAATAAGTTCGGAATGATTCAGAGAAGTTTGAAACCCTCAAGGAGGTGTTTGAAGGCATAACAGTACAGTTGGGTGTGGCTGATTCACCTGTCTTAATTGCCACCAATTTTACTGTTCAAGTCCGTGTGTCAGACGGGTAAGAAGGCAAATTAAAGTAAGTGGGAGGTGTGGCACGATCAAAATAATTATAAGGTTCACTTTTCAATTCGTCTTACCACCGTTTCTAGAAGCTCATAACCTGATCCGAGCCGAAAAAGTTGGCAATGATCACTTTCCTTCCTTTCCAATCAAAGTAGCCGCTAAGCTCTTAATTGCTCATTCCTTAGCTGAATTATTCCATTTTCTCTCTGTATAAGCGACGGCAGTACTGACTGCATAATCGGAATACAAATCGGTTTACTGGATTGACAACTTTTTCTGCCCCATCCTCTCTTTGCAGTGCAGTGGCACAATTCGCCCAAATCGAGGCCCACCTTGCCACTCTACTCACTTTAGTGACAGCGGCTGAAAGTGTTTCCGAAGCGCGCGTGGCAACATTACGCCATTCAGTACGAGTAACTCGACTCAATGAGTTTCACCGCCAGCAGCGTGAGGCCGAGCGTAGGCGACAGGAGGGGAGGAATCAGCGTATCCTCCTAAGAGCTCAGGCACCACCACCACCTCCCGAAATGGTTAGTTTTGTTGTGGAAATAAACAAACAGCGGATGCCTGAATGTTTGCTACACGATCCCGGTTATAAAATAAGTTATTGATTACTTGCATTGTTTTTCGAAAATTTGCGATTTTGTCCTCTTTAGATGTTGAGGCTTACAGTAAAGGAATCCGAGAGTAGAATGGAGCAGAAAACATAGAGGAAAGTAAACTGAATAAGGAAGAGGCTCTGTCTACTATACGCTAAATCATGCTACTGTGATTATAATAATACTTCCAAATAAGGTCTTTCCTTGCCAGACCCTATGAAAATTTGGGCAGAGATCTAAACAAGTTAACCGTGTAGACCTGATGAGCTCATGAAGTCAAATGCACATTAAAACATAAAAAACTAAGGATTTATTCATTGGAAAATAATCTGGAACGTCGAGACAAAACCCTATCTATTATGTAAAGGGAGTTTGGAGTGATTTAGTCATTGTTTATTTACATGGGTTGAAGTTTTGTTCTAGTTCGGAGAGAATAAATCTTCCCAGACTAATGTGCCTTACTACAACTTGAAGGGAGACTTTAGACCGCTATGAACTTCTGCTTGGATTATTCGGGAATGCTGATTCTCCTAGCGATTATATTTATCCAAGTAAGGGAAATAACACTGAATTTACTAGAAGTAACATACTGCTAAATGTACTTATTTTAAGACTCAATATTTTCTTTTGTGATTTTAAGGAATTAACAATGATTTCCAGAAGGATTCGAAAATTTTTAAGAAAAATTAACTTAGGTCTTTTGAAAGGCAGTCAAACCATTTATCAAAGCCTAGTAATTGTGCATCATTAATAAGATTGGCAAAGGATCCAAGGAAAGCGCTTCTAAAGGTGGAGAGTTAAAAAATACCCACTCCGCTGTTGTAAGGCCGTGGTGAAGATGCCCACACATGACTAAAAAGTGTTAATCAAATTTCAGAGGCGGAGGTCACCTAATTCGGTTACGTCTGACACCTAGGATATAACATTGGGGAGCCTTTGCTACTGTTATATATCAATAGTATGGGTTACCATATAAAAGTGCTAGTAAGCAAACTGTCAGAGTACTCAGCCATTCGCACAATGGAAACCATCTTCATGAAGACGGATTTCTTGGAAGCACATCTGCTACTTTTGATCGCAGTAAGTAGCACAGTATTCAGATTGTTATTAACTTATATAGAAAATGAAATCATCACTGCGAGTCATTTGTACAAAGCACGGTGAGTGGCTGGCCAGATGGAATGGAAGATACTCAGATGGCACGTTTGGAGAAATCGAAGCTCTGGTTGCCATTACTATTGGTACTGTTAAAGAAGTAATTTGGAGGTGGACTGGAGTCGTAGCCCTCGAAGGCGTATTGAAGTGGCTGATCCATGGCTAGAAAACGCTCACCTTCTGCGGAGAGCATCGAGTCGGCTGGTCGTGTTTCCACAGACATTCCACGGACTAGTGGGAATTAAAAAATAAAGCCGCCTGACTTGACAGTACTGCGGGCAGGTGCTGAGCTAGTATTTGACCTCTTGATTAGCCAAGGCGAATCCGTCCTAGAATCATTACTTAGTTCGGATGGTGCTTACTCAATGATTAAAGCAACTTTTTCTTTAGCTGCTATGGTATCTCGACTGCCCTGAGGTTCCAATTTAATCTATATAACCCTCACGTCCATCCAGTTACCCAATTTGGACCCTATTCCAATTTGGTTTACAAATGATTTTAGCAACTAGACGGTGAAACATTTATGAAGAAAAATGAATTTTAGCTTCTCTACCACCTTTGCTACCAGTGTCACATCATCGAGACGTATGTTGCTAATGCGTCAATTTTTTTGGTTGTACAAGACAAGTCGTTTCTGAGTGGCGTGATTTTGAAAAGAACGTATCTTTTGTGAAAAAGTGGTGCCAAAATTTCCTTTGAGACTCGTATTTCGCCTCGACAAAGTACAAAAACTGTAGGAGATCAGCGCTGATGTGGTTCAAGGGAATGCGGAAGGCATTTTAGACTCGGTGATGGCATTAATGCTGCCATCTTTGGCTAGCCTAGAAGTTTGCATTTCTGCATTAATGAAGCATACATTATCCGCAAATACTTCCAAAATAAGGAAAAAATATGAAAGAATAAAGACGAATTTGTAAAACAACCCCACCATCACATATATGTGACATAAGTTCTTTATCACTTTAATGATGAAGGGTGGTACCAAATCATGCCTAAAACAGGCTTGTTGATGCAAAACTTCCCAGACCTACGAAAAACTGCAAACTTTATTTTTAAGTAGCAGACGGATGTCAAAAATCCATGGCACTTGGTGTCATATCTGAGATCACGAAAATATCTAAATTGTGATGGTTACTTTAATCCTGAGAGGCTGATAGAAATGGCGATCAGCCATATATATTTAAATCAAACGTTTTGGACTAAACTATAAAAATGGAAAAAATAAATAAAATACTTACCAGTTAAATGTTCCGGTCGCAAAGACACATCAGGAACCTTTAGGGCACTCAAATTGAGAGAGCCACGGTAATCCTCTTCACCTATATTCCAAAGTTAAAAAATACCTTTTTTAACCTTTCAAAATGTGGATATAAGTAGGATAAGTTGAGGGACACCGGAATGTACCAGCTTTGGCGATGCTGTCAAGAGTCATTCTTTCCTGCTGTTCTATGAAGCGTGAACCATTGGATAGGGTTGAAGCCATGTTCTTCAATTTTCGTCTCTTCCACCAACACGCGTAGAATACTATCCAGAATACTGGACAAGGTTACAATGAATGATAAGACAGTTTTAGGTGAGATGCTCATGTTTTGTTGTCACAAAACCACAAGTTTATCACTGGCATTCAAAGATGATGCAACTAACGCAACTCAGGCGGTCTCTTGACCTAACAGCGACCCAAAATATCATTCATTTTTGACAATTTCAAGCGATGTTCGCATATTTGTGATGCTGGACCTAGATAAGAAAATCTCGATATTGCACACACAGCCCATTCACCTGATTCCCCTTGGTAACACGCCTGGTCTTAGGTAATTTTCACTGACCTATCAAAATGAGCACGAAGAAGAATGGAATGAGCCACCAGTTTTGAAGGCCTGATCGCGCTAGCGCGGGTCGTTCACAAAACAGTCCAGTCCATCCACCAGAGCAGACACAGAGCACACCAACAGTCTCATTTTCCCACGAGATAGTCTCGTTTTCAAGGATTAAACATTCGCCGCTGTTTTGACAGGGATTCGGATGGCAACTGCTGAGGACGCATTGCGGGGCGGTGGATGGCGGGATGATTCGATGAGAGGAACCGGCTTTGCAGCTGATAGAATATAAGAATAAAAAGGGTTGGGAAAAATTAGCTATAACAGATGAAGTTCTTGATAGTTGTTAACATAAGCATGCCATGCTTTTAACCAAGAAGAAGAATTGGAAGACGCTCATGTCAAAACTAAACCATGGAGATTATCAAAGAATGCAACTTGGTTACAGAAAATATTGCGTATATAGCAAGATAATCCGTGGACAGTCTGTTTCATGAAACAGGAAATATTCGTTAATTATTGTATTCACCATTCACGGAGGTGGATTCGTTTCCTTTTCAATTTTACTGCAACAAGTCAGGCATGAATGAACAGGCCTTCCACACGCCAAATGTGCACAGGAATTGCTGTCAGGGTCAGATCGGAGGCCCCAACTAGCACAACATTATCGCCAATGAGTAACTTTCCATCCATTGTAAAATTTATCCTGTCATTGTCGGTCCTGTTAGAGTTACAGCTAAGAAAGGGCTGCTAAACCGTCTCCATTAAATTATGCGACATCATTCGTTTCCGAGATCCGTGCTTCGACCATGTTGGGTAGATTATCCGGCCATTCCTTCTGTACGCTGTATTGATATGCATCTATTACGACTTCGGGGCAGACTTGAGGTGCTACACCATGCTATTAACCCCCTAACACTTGATTAAAGCTAATTCCTAGCCTTTTTTCCAATTTTACTCAACTTACATGCATTTATAGCCACGCCATTCAGGAATACAAATTTCAAGTGGACCACAGGGATTGGAGGAAGCACAGAGATCCACAGTTTCACAGCCCCTCCGTAGAATAGACTGCCTCTCCTCTGTTCCATCAGAGAGGAGGTAGTCATGAATGATGTTATTACGAGTGTCTCGCATTTCCAATCTGACGTCAGACAAACAACCTAAAAAAATAATACACTTCTTTTCAATTGGGCCAATTTTCTTATTTATACAGTTGCTGCACCACATGAAAAGATTTTGTATTATGGCTAGTCCATCATAAAACAGCATGCATGCTCAAGTGCTCGACGTTCACCGACTTCTCGGCGTTAAGTATGGTTGTGTTCACAGTTCCCGTGAAAGGACTCACCTCCCGAGATTGGGCTATCAAGATCAGGGATTCAGGAGGTGAACTGTCGTTGAGGTACGGGAACTTCTACTCAAGGCTGCTTTAGAATCCCGTACGCTATTTAAGACGCCTTACTAATGGGCGGGTAGGCTTACCATCGCTGAGTCGGATCACGTTTAAATACGATTCCTCCTGTCTTCACTACAACCGCTACGATATCTAAAATGGCCCGCGGTCTTATAGCCTCGCTAGGGTTTCGATTTCGCCATAGTGTCTCTTGAATTTTCCCATTCTTCTAGCGACAAATCCTTGATATCGTGTATTATCAGAGACAGTGATGGCTTGATGCTGAGATGGAATTCAGGCGGAAAAGGTATCCCTAAAGTCTTCAATCCCCACCCAAATTCACGGTTAAAATATCATTTTTGATAGGCAAGACAGCCATTTGAAACCCAAAGTTAGCTAATAACTAAGACCTTTCTTCTGCCCTCGAGGATAAAATGAACAAAGCATACTTGAAATGGCTTCAATAATTAAAATTCCATCAAGATCAGAGTGGCTGGAATACTCAGTGGAGGAGAGCGTTGCATTGTGAAAGGCATTCCACAGCCCATCAACGGTGAGGTCGACCATTCTTGAGGTGGTGCCTTGAATTCTAAGACGAAAAAACACATAAGATGATTCATTTTATCAAGGCTTTTCTTCTCGCGGATCAATGCTATTTTGTTTTACAAATCAAAAAGATAAAACTTGCACAGGAGTAACAGTCAGTTGAATCACATGCCACCACCCATCTGTTAAGTCAACTCCCGGAAGCAAGAGAGATGTAGTATCCAGTTGAAGTGCAAGCTTGCCACTGTAAATCTAAAAAGCAAATAGTGAAAATTAATTTATCGTGTATACGGCCTCTAACAAAAAGAGTGATCAAATGTAGAGCCGCCATCTATGGAAGATATTCAAGCTAAACCGCGTAGAGTAGGCCGTGTTTGGGGCAGGTGAAGAATATCATGCATGACCCCGTCTGATTCAGTTCAGTCAACAGTTGTAGGGAGTGTGTGGCTTCAACAGCAAATGATAATTAGAGGTTCCTTGTTAACGAAAGGGGAAAACACATGGAAATGCAAAGACTGTATGTTGTGGTGAAGATGTAAGGTACAGTGTGACGTTGGAAGACTTAATCGGTAAGCAGCAACGCCTTTGAATTATGTATGGATCCAAATGGTGGCTGTAAGTATGCCGAATTTTGCGGCGGGCCTAGCGGCGATTTTCCTCTTTTGTATTCAGTGCATGGAAGGCCTGATCTGTGTTGTAAAATCGTACTATAGGTGAATCCATCTACGAGAATGGTGAACGCACTGTGTTTGGTACTGCAACTGGCCGATACAGAAGTTGAATGCCCTAAAATAGTTTAACTACACTGACAGATCATCTTACCTCAAAGCTTTCCAAGCAGTGGCCAAACATTTAAATGAGTGCTTAAAATTAATTTTTTACCCCGTGAAACTAAGGAGTCCCAGTTAGACATGAACACCCACCATATGCGAATATATGTCATATTTCGTGTGCTTTAACCTCATATATAATTTCAAACTGTAACTTTTCTTAAAGTTAGCCAATTTACATGAAAAATTTTTCATATCAAATGACCCACAACAAGTCTAAGACGTCCATCTCTCGACCGGAGAACTGGCGTTTCCTGCTGACGTGTCCGTAAACTCAGATAGAGTGTGAAGCCCCCTTTACTGCCAATGTTAATCAAATTAGGCCCATCAATTTGCCACTCCAAAACAGCTAAAAAAGAAAAATACATTAATTTATTTTAAACTCGTCACTACCTCCTTTTGACACCATACCAGAAGATGTAGCTATTCGACACACTTTCATTGGACGATTTAAACTCTGGGGAGTCAAGAAGGAAAATATGACAGAGGCATTTCAACAATAGATAATTGGTCACAAAATAAATTAAATCGAGTGATTTTTACAACATTGGTAACAAGTTAACCTCGGTTCGTAAGGGCGAAGAAGGTCCAATCATATCCATCCAATTCTACCTATATTATGATGATATGAACAATATAGTACGGACCAATAGGAAGAGCACTGTTGTGAAAGACTAACGCATATCTTGTAAACAAGCTTGTTTTGCAAGCCTTTATTAATTAAGCTATTCTGAAAAACCTTTTAGTCTTCCACGATTCTAGTGTCTCCTACCCCTTCTGTAGGTGTGGAATAACCTCAGTTTCCGAGTTTCACTTTCTTATAAAACTGTAAGGAGTAAAATAAACATGATGTTTTCGGACTACAATACCAAAACTTCACAGATGGCACCAAATGCCAATGGTCGGACCTTCTGTGATCCACAAAGGCATCACCAAGATCAAACTGACTTTGCTTGTCAGAACCAGTCCTGAGTTCTGCACCTACTAAAGGGCACAACCTCAAAAACTTTCAAAAATTTTAGGAAATTTTAAGAACTTCCGAAAACTTTAGTAACATTGAAACAGGACTATTCTCGCCGAGGTTATTGATATCTCTAGGATGTGTTAGTCATAGAGCATCATCTAGTCTTTCGTGCCATTCTTTCAAACAAATTCCTTAATTATGTAGTTTATTTCTCAGGACTGATCTGTGATGACCAAAGAGAAAAGTTGACCAAGCAGAGTAACTTCTGTGACACTTAAAACTAAAAAAAAAAACAGTGTGAAAGGACCAGGTTTCCTTTATTCGTATAATTGGCTGGCATTCTAATCCCACATACCTTCAATACCTTTGTTGGAAGGATCTTTTACACTTGCTGTCACACAAAATGACACCTGTCACTTATTCCTGCGCGCAGTGCCACCCCAGGGATAAGTGACATATTTGTGCTATTAGTCAGCTCGGAGGTCATAGGTCAGCCTACAGGCCATTATCCGAGACAGCAAAGTGTAAAATCCAGACCCATGGATACTTATACTTCGCATACCAACTGGTAAGGCATTTGAACGACTTGACCCTTCCTAAGA